GACCACGGCGTGTGGAGGGGCTCTGCCTTAACCTGCGCCCCGGGCCCTGACGCGTGTCCGTCACAGCGGGCTCGGCCTTCCCTGTGGGAATGCTCCCACAGCGTCACCTCCGAGGCGAGGCTGGGTGGACGCGTCTTCTAAAAAGCAGAGGCATACACGGGCAAAATCCCCCACAATGAACATTCCTGAATCCTGAATGAGGGGAAGTGTCCGCCTGGGCTAGGGTAGTTTCTGTACTGCTGCATGCTTTGAGAGTTGGTATTAATCGTCTAACAAAATTAAACCGGATGGCGGAAGGGTACGTTCTACATTTAGGTGAGAGGAACACAAAGTATAAAAAGACCAACGAAAAACGGTATAGCAAAACAGCTTAGTGACTGATTTTTCAAAAGGTGTGACTTGGCTTGGTCTATTTTACTCAACAACTTTACTTTTTACACCAGACATAAATCTTACATGCCTCAGATATGTAAGTAGTACTAATAGCGATAATGACTGTAAAATTACAGGAACAATACCCTATCCTTGTTTTAGTATGTGACTTGTGCTCATCGTCACACACAGGGGGTTACTATAACAATGGGAGCCTGCTGTCTGCCACAGAACATCAGAGCAGCTAGAAACGCCTGATGCCAAACTACCGCTATGCAGTCAGATTGCTCTTGATAAAATATGGCACAGCATAAGAAACAACAGTTCACGAAATGTGAAGTAACTAGGTAACTAGGTTACTTCACGAAATGTGAAGTAACTAAATAGGTTTATAGAGAGCAATTGCCTTGATAAGTTTTAAAAGATTAAATATGAACCTTTTATTAACTTGCAGCTAGCAAACTAATTTAAACACAAGAGAATAAAAGCACGCAGAGATAGATGACTGCACTTCATATTTAGTTTGAAGTTCTTGAGGGTGTATTTACCTTCTTTAGAGAAGGCCTAAGAACTGTTCATACTGCCTTTCAATGCACATTTTAAGTCTTGTTTGGAAGGTAAGTACTTCACAGGAACTCTTTTCACTTTGCATGGGTGGAGGCTGGTAATTCCATCCATCGTTTATATAAAATATGGTTGTTATGAAAAGCTTCATGGTTGTCACTTGAGCTGTAATTGCCATACATTATGCACTGGAATAAATTGTGTGCAGTGAAAACATGTATCTAGAAAATATGCATTAGAGAGAAGGATCTGTAATGTAGATTATCACTGAGCATAGATTATACCTGAAAGTGATTTTTGTTTTATCCCGACTACTTTAACATGCCTTACAGATTAAAGTAGGTAGACGTGCATTTTGACAAAGATCAGAATGTAAGATGCAGTGAAGTGTTGCATGTCCTCAGCTAACTGTACTTCATATGATTTCCTTCTTCAACAGATTGGGAAACAGAATGCCATTTGGTGGAGCCAGTGAATCTGACCATGCCCATGGGTCATTAAAGACTGAATCAGACATTTTGCAGAACACGCTACCTGAAAATGAGAAATTTTATTTTGATCTGTCCAGAATTATTGATAGGTGAGTTTCTTTATTATACAAATGATAATTGAATTGGATCAGCTGAAAAACATTGGTCACATTTTCAAACTGAGAAATAGGAAAGGATGAATCAATTACAAAAAAGAACCCACATGGCCTCTGGTAGCAGTAGGAATGTCTGCAGAAATGTTGATCGCACTGCCATTCTGGCATGACAAATTCATGCACTGCCCAGGGAGGGCTAAAATGTATATTGTGAAAATCTGGAAGTTTTCTTAAGAAATTAGCTTAATGTGCACAATATATAACTTGAGGAAAGCATTATGTTTACAAAATGAACGCTATCAAAATGGTATGAACCCAGGTTGTATTGTAGAGTTTATTTATTGTCCATTTCAGAAATGCAAGGCATGCTGATGGAATTTTCACCAGTGTCTACAGCCATCTTTTGGCTAAACTTGCTGTGAAGAGATATCTGCATTCGCTTATTAGAAAACGAGTTAGGTGAGGTGACACCTACATTAGGTAGAGTTTTTTCCTAGCTGGCTTCATTGGCAAATTTTTACTCTTCTGTACCTAAGTTCTCATTTTTGCGATTTAGAGATAAAGAAAGAGAAACTGATATAACGATGGGGGAGCTGAAAGTCCTGTGTAACAACATAGTGGTATTTGTTGCTGAATGAATACGTTACTATTTATTCCTGATACAGCTGTGAGGGGTAGAGCAACAGACACTGCATATAGCACTGATAATAAATACTGGCAATATTATAATGATTATCATGCCGATTTGCCCTTTTTTTTTAATTTTATTTTCTCTGTTAGTGTTTTTACTAGCTTGGTGGATGAATGGCAAAAGTAAATACAAAATGATTGATTACTCAGTACTTCTATAACAACAGGGGAATAGTCTGTGAAATTAAGAAACAATTGGTTTACGGTGAAAACCAAGAAAAAAAATTATTTTTTCCTACTGTCGAACATATTGTCAGATGTTTGGGAGATCTGTATTCTAGTCAGATTCGAAAAAGAATGAGGAAAATCTGTAGACAAGGCATCTGGATGCAACTTCCAGACCAGGACGTTCATAAGCTAATGGTTGCAGGATGTTGGGAAGGATCATTGTATACTTCCCTTGTCTTCATATCCCTAAGCAGCAGCTACTGGGTCCTCTTGAGAACACAACAATAGAATACTTTGGTCTGACCCAATATGCCAGTTCCTTTGAGTGCCTACTTCATACACTCAAAAGCTGAGTGAAAATTAGGTCCTGCATTTATGTCGATGCTGCCTTTTTTCCAGAACATATAGTGCCAGTTTCTTTTATGCTATAAACTAACATAGATCATTTAAAGCCGAACACACTGAGGCTTCCCAAGATCATGCATGAAAAATAGGTCTCCAAGTTTGGGTTTCACAAGGTGTGTTTTGTTTCTTGACACCTCCTTAAAACAAACATTTGTAGCTATGTATGTGATGATACACTCTTACTTTCCCCAGAGGTAGGCTCCATCCTCAGAGTTCAATAGGAACAGTGATCAGGTCCTTTAAGAGCTTACTGTGACTTAAACAAGTCTTCACCTTGGCATCACACTAAAATATATTTACGCAAATGATAGAAATCAGAATAAAGTCAGTTTATTAAAAAGAGTAACCTGGGCTATGAGAGCAGACAGAAGGAAATCGTGAAATCCACTCTCAGCCATTTGATCCTGCAGAATTTCTGAGAAAGTGACTCCAGAAAGAAAGCAGTGGAAGGTGTGCCCAAAAAGACTGAATACCAATCCTTAGAATATGGTTCTTGTGACTAAAATACATTGTTAGCAATTGAAGACTTCTGTTCAGCAGAAGAAAGATCCAAAGTCACAGTTGGAAATGAAAGCAGAAATGAAAATTTGATTTTATTTAGCTAATCAACATTGTAAAGTTTGTTTCACTCATTTAATGGTATCTTCTTTTAAACAGATATTGTCTATTAATTTTTTCTTTGTAATTGTTGTACTGCCAGCTCCCAGGACAGTCCTGTCAAACGCCACTCTGACGCTGTCTTCACTGACAACTACAGCCGCTTTCGAAAGCAAATGGCTGTGAAGAAATACTTAAACTCCGTTTTAACTGGGAAAAGAAGGTACTACAAGAAAGCAAATGTATATTGTTTCCATACTTGTATGGTATTAAGATAGAAAAGATTTATACCCATGTATGTATACAGAGAGGAAAAACAAAATGCAATGAACATTAATGACTTTATAACATAGTTTATAACATGGGTTTCAGATACAGACAGCATTTTCTTCTAGACTATAACAGACACTACAATCAGATTAGAATAAAAGAATAAAGAGGAGACAGCATCTGGCAATTTTAAAAAGCTTCTGACAGATTCTTAATGTGGTTTTATTTATAAAAAAGCTTCTTATGGAAAAATCCACAGAGCTATGGAAAACGAAAAACAATTTTATAGAGAAAATGCACTATTTATGGAAAACTTGCCTTTAAGCAAACACATAAAATGAAAATATATAAATCCCAGAAAGACTATATGTCCTAGCAGGTATAGGTGATAAGTACCAAATATGTTTTTGTGGAGCTATATTCTGCTTGTATATTCACTCATTTAGACATCTGCTTTTAAATATCAAGTCTCTTCACCCATTAAACATGCTATTTCATGTGATTTATAACACTTTGGTATAAATCTAACAAAATGTGCAATAGCTACAGTTAGAAGAAGGCTTTGCTTGCTTGTTTGCTTTTTATTCTGAGAGCAATAAAACTTGTTTCCTGTCCATAACAGCCAGGAAGAGCTAAACCCCGCTAAACTTCAAGATGAAGCAGAACTTCTTGAACCTTCCTTGTCAGAAAACTATGATTCTGTAGATGAGCTGCTGAGCCACCTCCCACTGGTATGCCGAGATTTTCTTTCCTCTTCCTATCTGTTACTTGACTTGACCCATAAAATGAGATTAATTATACGAGAAGTGTGGCCTATCAGAAAAGAAGAATCATCTAGAAAAGAGCCATGTTCCATGGAATGTTGCATGTTTCTATAAGGATCGTGTCTGAATATAACAATAATTTTAATAACAACAATAATTAAGTTATCCCATGATTGCTGTTATTGAAATTTCCTAATTAAATGGCACTGTTAATAATGCACCTAACTCACTTGGGTGTTTCAGCTTGTGTGCACTGCAGAATAAACCCAGAATTGAATCATTTTAAACCAACAAAGATTATTATTTCTTCAAAAAAAAAAAAAAAAAAAAAAAGCTCCCCATCTATTTCATTAGAAATTACCACTAGAACTAAGAGGATCAACAACATGAAACCCAAGCATTAAGAAAGCACTTGACTCCCATCTAAGGTGTGCTGCAGAGAGATCGTCTGACATGCAAATACTTCAGTTACTGTTTTCCATTTAGCTAATGCTATTTTTCTGAAATCATTCACAGCTATGTTTATTTGGTTTACTGAAATGTAAACCCTTCTACATCACAGCACTTGCAGGGACATAAAATTGAAAGGGTAAGGTAGAAGTGAATCAGGCTTGGTATTCTCAAAAGTGTATTATGATAGGATGGTTTTTGGCATTCAGCTGTGTCTCAGCTACAAGTAAGAAAGAAGGTTACTCTTGAAGATAACAGGGTGGAGGGAGGAGATGACATTTTTCAAAACGGTTGTTTTCTTCCAAGACTGAAAGAAAACGTTCTTTTCCTTTCCACAAATGTGGCCATTTCTCTTAAGTTCCCAAAGATTAGAAAGGACATAAAAGATTATTGCAAATATGTCTGCTCCTGGATTTTGCACCTTCTAAAACTTCTGGTATTTACTAAGTGGGAGAGAGTAGTGGTTCAGCGGGTTGCATCTTCCTGGAATTATTTCCAGTCCTTTGCTTTTTTTATGGACTGTACTGATGATCCAGATTTCCCAATAGGTAAATTGCTTACTCAGTGTTGACTGTTACTGGTCATGTTACTGCGGTGCCTGGTTGCTGATGTAGCGTGTATCAAGCAACCTGAATTAATGTATCCATTCCAAGGATATGGTTGTTTTCAAAGTGAGCTGTTCTGCACTGTAGGCTAATGTGAAGTAACATTTTTGCCTAATCCTTCAACCTTTCTTCCTCAGCCTACAGCCTTATCTGCTGGCTGTAATGACTACCAAGCCCCTGTGAATAGCTCCATCTCATGCTTGTCAGTCCCAAAGAGCAGCAATTGTTTTATATCAAGTGTTACTTCTTGTCTGCTGCCTGCTTTTATAGACTTCATGATGCAACCGCTTACGAAAATGACTTCTAAAACATATTTCTCCCTTGCTTTTCAGGACCTCTGAAAGACATGTGGTAAAGTCTATGACAAGAACAAGCTATTTTTGAGTTCCACATAGTATTTCAAAGAGATGACTTTAGTCATCAAACCAGAACAAATATGTTGTGAAGTGAAAGTTGTGATATATTTGTTTCTTATGTAATAAAAGTTGATATTTACATTGTAAATATTACTCTAGAGTTCTCTACTGAAAGCTGTACATATGGATGCCAGTTTAACTCATGAGAAGTCTGTGAGTCCATATGCTGTAAATCCTTTACTTCAATAAATTCATTTGAAAATGAGTGTGCAGCTGAAAAGAGCCCATCACTACTTAACTGGCTTATTTTAGGTGTGGTACAACTTCAGATAAGCCTGTATGATAATAGGGATGCATTTCCAGATAGCTCCATAAATAAGTGTAAAAATGTGAGTAAAAGAATGTGCAGTATATAAAACTGCATTACAAACATCTCTGAAGGTTACTGGCAGGAAAAGGGGAATGCTAGAGAAAATGAAAAAGCATTAAAAATTATTTGACCTCTGACAGCATCTTTCCTTCCTGTTCACATTTTTAATGTTTCACAATATACAAATTATACTAAGACCAGAAATGTATCCTTTATTTTCAGTTGTGTTTCGGATGCTCTGGAGCTGACAAAGCACAAAAAAAATGCTATCCCTTGATTTGTTTGATGCCTAAACTCACTGGTTATTCTACCTTCAGTTGTCTGTAGCTTTGATGATGAAATTATTCCTTATATATAAAACAGATCTGAAGACACTTTACTATTTTTTCAGAATGAATGTAATTTACAGAATATGTAGACAATAAATCATTTTGTTATCATGGCAAGTTATTACTGGTTTGAATCAGTGTTACAGGAACCTGGAACAGTAGAGGTCCCAGTAAGTGCTGTCTCTAGTAATAGAGGAAGGTATGTTTTAACTGAGGTATACTACATTATATTCGAAAGAGAAGCCAGTAAGCCTCCAGTTCCCATTTCTTTATATCATTGTAGCTTAGCATGGAACTGGAAATTTGCAGCTGATTCATTGGTGCTGTGAATCAGAATCTGTTTGTATTTTATTAAAATTGTAGATTTAACCAATTGGATCATTTTCTAAAGAATTATTTACTGTTGTAAGAAACGATAGTTCCATTGCAGTAAGGAAAATGTGCAGTACTGCATGCACAACATGTGAAATGCATATTCATGCATGGTACCAGCCATAACACTCCCATGACTCCCCTCCCACCTCCTAGAAAGAGATGTAATTTGAAGTAGAAAAAGTTATCAGACCTACTTACAAGTTCAATTTGGAATTTCAAGTATATTTATATATCATACATATGCACACATAGACAGTGATAAAACTGATTTACAAGTTTCACTTACAAGTTTACTGTTCTCATTTAGAAGGAAGTTTCAAATATAAAATTTGAGATTTATGGAGACTAGTTCTCATAAATATGTAGCCTCCTGATTTGGAATTTTTTTGAGTATTGACAACCACATGTCAAAAGAAAATGAGCCTGCACAGATCAGATGCTATTATTACTGCTTCTATCTAGCCTTGACAGAATTTATTTTAGCCTAAGCCAATGAATTGTTCACAAAAGTTAGACATAATTTTGAAGTCTTTTGAAAAGTAGTCCACTCTCAGTTCTTATTCTGAAAATTTGAGTGCAAAAGTGGGTTTGGAAATGCTTGAAGGGTACTATCAGAGTGATGTTATAGTACTTAATTGGGAAATTTCTTCAGTGTAGTTTGACCTTTGTTAGGATTTCTGTGATAAGTAATGTTTTAAAAAAAAGTGAAAAAAAAAATTAACCAGAAGCAAAGCCACATATGATCTTCATACAAAGCACTTTTTGTTTAAATATACAGAATATTCATTCACTCAATTTAAAGTAACAGAAATTGGAGTGATCAAACTTTTGACTGCACAGTTCCAGAAATCTTTTTTTTTTCTAAATTTGTCTTTTTAAAATTTATTTTCAGTTTACCAATAAGATATCTATCTGATGGAAGAGCTTGTCCTCCATGTCTAATGTTTGATCTCCCCGATAGCTTGTTCTCCATAGAAAACTGCAGAACCTTAGAACGTGTATCTTCTCTGTTACAGTGGAGATAGAGTGGGTTACAGAAGGAAGGGATACTTATTAGGAAAACATATATAGTATATATTATAAAATACAAAATAAATACCCTCATTATAATAACTATAATCATACTGTGTTAACTTTCTCAGAGGGTCAGCAAATAGAGACAGTCTAAAAAGCATGCAAAATTTTATGTACATTTTAAGAGAACCTAACACTGAAAGGAGAGATACTAACCTCCAGAATAATATACCAGATTTGGTATTTGTGTTAAAGGATGGCTTTTAATTTCTCACAGCAACTTTTGACATTCCATAGGAGATATAAGGCCCAATTAATACATTGAGACTCCTTAATTGTGGAAGATGTACCATAACCACTTGCTCAACTCTATGAGCAAGTGTTTATGATAAGGTTAAATGATAACATTCAAGAGAAAACTGCAACATTTCACTAAATGGGACAGATTTTCTATCCTCCATGAGTCTTGACACGTCATCAATCTTACAACCCATCTGCAAAGTGTTGTAAGAGTGGAATTAAAGTATTGTGTTAATTATGAGAATGAAAGGGGCAGCTTCAAAGAGAGTGTCAAGAGGACTGCTAGGAGGAAAACAAATACCCGGCTGATTTAGAAGAGCATCACTGGCAGAGAGAATGCAACCACTCAGGAGGAAATAATAAAACTGAGAAGGGTTGTTGGGGTATATGTTAAAGAAACACCTCACTATGTTTCTCTACAATTTCACTTCTAACACAGGGTAAGAATACTTGTGATTGTAGATGGTAGAACTCATTATTTTTTTGTTTTATTGAATGGGATTTTCAGACATACTCCATGGAGCTGTTAAAGAAAGGACAGAATCACTTTTAAGTGTGTCTTTACCAGGACTGGAAGGGGATATTTTCTGCTCCTGAATCCACAGAGAGGATTTGCATGCTTGTGTGCATCTGTACAATCATCACCCACTCAAGTGCAGCCCTCAGGATTGTGTATAAGATCGTGAGAATTACAAACATTGACAAAACATTTTAAAATTACAGCTGGTAAAAATACATTAAAATGAATAAAACTCTAACAGCTCCTCTGATATTTTAAATGGATTTGAGTGACTATATGTTCCACCTGAAAGTCTGTTTAAAAATATGAAAATGGGTAACTTGGATCCAAAAGATAAGTATAACTTCACGTATAGGAATAGTGAATTGTCTCCAAAGACAGACCTTTAAGGAAGAGATGTATGTATACAGGAACAATTTATTTGCTTGCAGGACTTTAGGGAAGGTAGATAGAAAAGGTTGTCCATTGCCTCTTGTGATAGTACTTATGTTTTCCACTACTTCTTTTATTTTTCTGTATGTTCTCTCTCCCTCCTCCACTTACCACAAGCTTCCCCACTCTTTGATAATACTCTCACCTCTTGTTTGCAAGGCTAGTATATTAATATGTACCTGTTTTTGAGAGGAACAATTATGGCAGACCTTAAATTTATGGTGCAGGAACCTAATAACTGCCAGCCTTGGTTATTGGAGATAAGTATTGCAGAGAACCTGACACAACCATATTTGTAGGAGCAACCTGTTCTTCTCACAAACAGCTCCTGACTTCCCACTGGAGATTTACCATTTGGTTTGTGACTGGTGCAAAAGGATGACCTTTCCTTGGATATATTAAACAGAATGTGTGGCCTCCTGGGGCTTGTGCTGCCTTGGGCAACTACAATATTTTCAGCTTTTCTCCTTTCTGCTTTGGAACAATCATCACAGACAAAATGCTTGCCAGGCTGACAAGCTGGTTTAGGATTGGAGGTAGGAAACTAGACACTGGTCTTTTAAATAAGTCTTTAAAAAAGATTGAAGAATAATTTGATGCATCTTCTGCTTCCAAAATAAACAAACAGGAAAAGTTTTGCTTCAGTTTTATATACAGATACATGCAGGCCACTTAGCAGGGAGGGAAAAAACCATCTTTCCCTTGGGAGGATAGTATGTTCAATAACTTTATTGATCAACATTTATAAATATAAATACAATTGATTATTCAAAGATTAATTGTAAAGTGACATAAATTATAATGGTACAGTGAAAAAAATAATTCTCTTATATAAATATAAAAATGGTTGTGGTGAGAACAATATTTTCAATAGAGCAGGTTTTTGGGAAAGAATGGTGATTGTTTCATTAATGAGGGGAAAAAAAAAGAGAAAAAAATATCTTGCCCTTCCCCACTGAGTGAATTATTTAATACTAGATAGAGGTTTGCATAGGATAATATGCTTAAAAGAGTATATGTGAGATTGGTGCATTAGATCTATTTTCTGGATATTTTCTGGAACTGGCCTCGATGTTTAAAGCCCTATTTCACTTTTCAATGGGACCACAGCATCTAAGAGCCCAAGTTATTTCCAAACGTGGGTTATGAATGCTTTTTATATGTTGTTCCTATTACCCTAATAGTTGTCAAGTCAGAATTTGCTTTTATCCAACACATATCCTCTTTCTGGCATGGGGGGAAAACAGAAGAGGGGCTAAAAACCGTCACTGTCTCCTACTGTTAGATGAGATGGATCAGTGAAAACCTTTCTACTTAGGAAATGTGCACAAAGCAGCAGTTTTTGCCAGTAGCATACGAAATAGCCAGGCTATTGACTGGGCAGAACAAAGACAGAATGATCTCTAGTTTTGCTTGTAAAATTACCTGATAGTGTTGCCACCTGGCTAAATGGTAGGAGGCATCAAGGTCTTGCACATCACTTTTTTGATAGAGAAGAAATCATTCATATGGAGCATGCGTGGCTCCTAGTTTTTTGCTTATTTTATATACTATTGAACTGCTTTTTACTGGAAGTGGTCACAAATATGTTTGACAGATGCCTTATCACCATTTATTGCTATTCTAACACAGCTCTTCATCTTTGTCTTTCAGACAATCCCTCTTCCCATAATCACAGCCAGAACATCTGCACACTGTTTTAAGCAAGCAATTTTGCCTCTTATTAGAGAGTATAGAAAGCAAAGTGCTGTATTCTAGGAAGACTCTTCATGACAAAGCTAGGGGTATATAATTTATGCAGAAAGACTGAATCTTGGTTAAAAAATAAGAAAAGTTTGAAAAATTTGGTGCCAATGGTTTCAGTCCCGCCTGGTGATTCCTTCCAGAGCAATGCATTGTGGTTGGCGTTATAAAAT